AAGTTAAACAACCATTTGTGGCAAAACACATAAGATGAAAATCATGCACAACATTATTTCAGTCTCTTAATCACATAGAGGCGGTCCACTAAATCATCAAGCACTTTACCTTCCTCTTGTGTTGGGATCGACTCTGATCCATTTTTAGATTTTAAAAGCATAAAAGTGTTTTTTAAATTGGCTTATTACATGAAGCCTTTTTGACTTTGTCGGAATCTCTGTTTAAACAAAACAAAACAAAAGAAAATTTAATTTCACTAAATTATAAAAAGCTCTGGTTTCAACCCAGTTATAATATAAGACAATAAAACAATAATTAGTGCCAAAACAGAAATCATAAACACTGAGAGCTCACTCACACAGTCAGAGAGAAGTTAGGGGCTTCTCTCTTTAACCGTTTATCTCCTTCCCTGAACAAACCGCCCCCTTTATCCTCACTGCTTCCCTGAAACGGTCATCCGGATGGAAATGGACAGATGTGTACAGAACAACTCAGTTTAGTCGGTGCCTGGCAGAATACACATCTCCAGTTTGCAGCATGCAAAAATAAGAAGGTTTTTGCAATAAGCAAAGCTCTGGATCATGTCTTTACTGAAGATGAGGCAGAGGACACAAAACAGCACAGTAATATGGATGACCCTCATAGAAGGAGGACAGTATAGATTATCAACAGGAGGACAAAGATGCATGTGATCTTGAATGAAAAAGAAGTCCATGGTGACATTTAGAATGGCAGTGATGAGGAATAACTGGGCGCCTGCACTGGTGTTCTTGTTGAAGTGTTGAGATCCTGCAATGAGACTGCTGATAGTCTTTAGGATGCTGACAAGCTTGCTCCCATCAAGGATGTCTGGGAGAGATGGGTGCAGCTCCTTTGTCTGATGCTCAGACCAGGGCCAGAGGTAACGTAAGATGAACGTTTTTCAACTTTCCATTGAAAATATTCTTTCTGGCAATACATGCCCCCAGCAAGTCAGGTAAATACGACTTAATGTGAGGGATGCAAAAACCAGCTGTGCATGGAATCAAAGATGACTGGAGGATTTCGAAAGGCAAACCGGCGAGTGGTATCCCTTAAAAAAACAAAGGAAAACATCTAGTCCTTGATTTGACTACTGAACTGCGGGGACACAGTATCAGCTATGACAGTTTCTTTACCATCTCTGATCTTGGACAAGAACTTCTCAGGAGGAAATGTACCATGGTGGGCACAATAAAACAAAACTTAACAAAACAAAAGAAACCTGACCTGCCCCATCAGCTTCGCAGGTAAAGGGCCGAGCTCCACTTTCTTCAAAATATGCTTTTACAGACACTCCTGCAGCTGCTCCAAATTGTCCAAAAAAGAAAGAAAAAAACTTTTGAAAAAAGTTTTTTTTTTTGCCCTTTTCTTGAGGTAAATATGTAAAAAATAAACAAATAAATAAATAAATAAAAAAAACTTGACCTGTAAGACCACAAGTTTACTGTAATTAATAATATAAATATATAGTTTTTTAATTTTCTTGAGGTTCAAGTTACCTTTTTTGTTTTTTTGTTTTTTAGATAACGTGAGGTATGCTGTAAAACGATAGGGTCTGGGGGCCATGCCATGCCAAAAAAATCAATATTATCTTGGATAAGGTAACTGATAGGTAACAACCATATTGGAGGATGAAACAGTGTTTTCAGGGTATTTTGGGGGGATATTTTCCAGCCTGTAAAACAATAAACATGTTAGTAAATCAATGACATGGTTTATTTATTTATTTATCTATTTTAAACGTGAATAGTGGATTAACTTGAAGTCTGACGCAGTGGTGTCTGTTTGTTGCTCTCTGTCCTGACTCCAGCTCCGAAGACCTACAGTCTTACCAACACCGCCCAGGTGGACACTGGTGGGGTCTCCGATAAGTCCATTCTTAAAGTAAGTCAAAAATCGTATTATATTGTGTCAAGTAGCTTTCACGTTTTTTAAAAAAAACTTTATTATAGTATTAGTATTATTATAACACTGGGTGTGATTTTTACCTTTCAATAAAGGTTGCTATCCAAGCTGTCCTGGAGAAGAAGATTATCAAATTGATCAATGAGTTCAGACAGGAGAATGGCGACAAGGGGCCCATATCAGGAAGACTTACAAGCAAGAAGTTGCTGGTAAATACAAAACACTTTGGTTCCTTCCAGCTGACCCACACTGAGTTTTAGTGTTTTGCATCCCTGCTGTTTTTCTCCTGATGTGCTTTCAGGACCTGTACACAGCTCTACAGAAGTTTAACTTTAAAAGGGAGCACATTGAAGAGGCGATGAAGAGTAGCATCCTGTACGGAGGAGATCTCCATTCTGCTCTCGACTGGCTCTGCCTTAACCTTAAAGATGGTAATACGGCATCAGCAGTCATCCAAACATCATTATTGTCATCATCATCGTGGGAGTCCTTAAAGGTAGAAGAGTAACTTTCTGGATTTATAATCTGTTTTGCTAGAGGAGCTGCCAGATGGTTTTAGCCAGCAGATGCAGGAGGAGAGTCAGAAGAACCGGCCTCGATTTCAGCCTCCAGTCCAGCAGAAACCTGCAGCTCAGAGCCCTAAAGTGTCAAACAACACGACCCGCAGAGAGATCACCAAGGTTTGTGCAGAGAGGGTGTGTTCGATGAAAAGGAGGTGTTCTGTCAACTAGTTTCTAAGTGTGTGTGTGTGGTGCTTGGCAGGCCACAGAGAAGGATGAAGCTGCCAGCATGAAGGATTGGATCTTAAGGTATGCAGAACAAAGCAGTGAAGAGGAAGAGGAGGAAGAGGAAGGTGGGAAGAAGACATGCAATCCTGAACTGGAAGAGAAGTTTGATCCAGTAAGAACAGTCAGAGCTCTGAGATTCTCTTTATTTACAATTATAAGAGAAAACAGACACATATTCCAAAATGTTAAAGTAAGGCTATGAGATGAAATGTGATCGTCTTTTGAAGTAAATGTCATTTATGAAGTTGATTTTTCATTACTATGTCTGTATTCTTTTTTGCTGTGAAGAATGACAGGTATTTGATACTGACTGCTCAGCTGTTTGACGCTAAAGAAATGGCAGCTGCTGCCAAGACCAAAGCAGACAAGGCGGGCCAGAGGATGGCACAGGACAGGATACGCATCATACAGCAAGGTGTGTGTGCGTGTACGTAAAACTAAGACAAAGCTGCAAACTCATTTTGCAAAAGAAAGCGTTTACATACACTCACAGGCCACTTCATTAGGTACAGTTTGCTTGTATCAGGTTGGACCCCTTTTGCATCCAGAGCTGCCTTCTTCGTGGCATATATTCAGCCAGGTGTTGGAAACATTCCTCAGACATTTTATCCATATTGATATGACAGCATCACACAGTTGCTGCAGGAAGCTTCCATCACAAGATGGGCACACTGTGGTCATAAAGGGATGGACAACAATACTCGGGTGGGCTGTGGTGTTTAAATGATGCTTAAATGGTACCACAGGGCTCAAAGTGTGGCAAGGAATTATCCCCACGCTATTACCATCACCAGCCTGAATCACTGACACAAGGCAGGATGGATCCATGCTTTTATGCTGTTTACTCCAAATTCTGAGCCTACCATCCGAATGTAGCAGAAGAAGTGAAGACTTATTAGGCTGGGTGATAATTAGGTGACAGGAGTGGAATCTGGTGTGGTCTTCCACTGCTGTAGTCCATCTGCTTCAAAGTTTGACATTTCGTGCATTCCCAGATGATCTTCTGCATACCTTGGTTGTAACAAGTGTCTGTTTGAGGTACTCTTGTCTTTCTATCAGCACAGAGCAGTTTCTGGCCATTCTACACTGACCTCTGACCTTTGGCATCAACATGGCATTTTCACCCAGAGTCCCGCTTCTCACTGGATCCTTTCAGTTTTTCAGATCATTCTCTGTAAGCCCTGAACGTGGTTGTGCACATGAGCAATCTGAATGATCAGATGGTACCAACATGCTCGCTTTGAACTCCAGGAAGGTGTTTTGACCATGTTTGAGTTACTGCCATGTGATTGGCTGATGACATGTTTGTGTTAAGAAAGCAGTTGAACGGGTATCCCTAATGAAGTGGCCTGTGAGTGTATACTGTTTCCTGTGGGGATATTTAAGATTTTTTTAAAATTGAACATGGTGTTTTTATTTTCTAGAAATGAAGCAGCTGGAGTCCCACCCCATGTTCAATCCAGCCATAAAAGTGGTGGACGCCCCTCAAAAAGAAAAGAAAATACTTCCTGCGAAGGAAGACAAAGAAGAGCTCGGCTTTAGTTTATTTGAACAAGCTGAGAAGGACCCGCCGGCCGAGAAAGG